AACATGCATGGGAGCTTAAAGGAACACTCTAAATTGTTCCTTGGTGTGAGTGTGGGCACGGATTGTTGTTCGTCTCTGTGTGTCCTGTGATTGTCTGGCAACCGGTTCAGGGTGTCCCCAGCCTATTGCCCAAAGATGGTTGGGATAGGCTCCAGCACCCACCGCAACCCTTTGCGAGGATACGGCGGATCGGAAAATGGATCAATGGATGGTAAAGTCAATGAATGTTTTCCGCATCTTGCATGGAGTCGGGGGTATCTGCCTACAAATGGCACCATAATTCGAGGCCTGCATTTTTTTTTTTTTGACCATAGCATATACTAAGCAAAGTGGCGATTGCATCACATGAATTGCCCTCTTGCAAAAACCAAGAAACAGCGTTATGAAAACACTTCTGCATTTTCTTGACCGATTCATCTCTTTCACGCCCGAACAAGAGGTGCGTTTGGTACTGCGTATGCGGTCAGTCCAGTGCGTCGACGGGACGGCCCACGGTAACCCCGGTGCTTGGCTGCCCGGTCACCGCCCCCCCCTCCCCCCTCTTCAGGGTGCTAGCTGAATGCTGGGCCTCCGAAAGCCGCCAAAGCAGCTTAGAGCTCCTCTGCTGCAGCGGGCCACACGTGTGAAACGTGCACTCCTGCTGACACACAAACACATGCGAAGGCCGGCCCTCGCCACGCTCTGTGCAAGCCTAATGAGGTGGGCGGCGTTTGCTCGGGCAAGGGAGAGGACGACTTAGGGCCAGCTCACTCCCACTCAGCTGTACGGAGGCACGTTGCTCCTCAGGCGCCACACACACGCACGCACACACACAGACACACACAGAGACACACACACACACACACACACGCACACACACACACACACACACACACACACACACCTGCAGGGGGGACAGAGAGAAAACCCAACACATGCCATGTGCATGTGGAAAGCAGAGAGGTTGTTCCGACTAATGGCAGGCATGTGTTGCAGGAAGCCGAGCGTGTTCCTGAGCTTTACTGAAAAAAAAAAAAGTGACATTGATTTCCTTTACCAAACATGTGAACTCAAATGGAGAATGCAGCGTTCTTACACAGTTCATGGTTGGTTCCCTCCCCCGACTATACGTAGAGGAAAGTTTTTTTTTTTTTAATGGGTTTTTTCACATGTGGGTCAGGAGAAAACTTATACATGAATATATTATGAAAGACATCCAAAGTTGTTTTTTTACACCGATATTTTCCCTTTTACTGAAAATCAATAACGGCACCACATATCGGCCCCCTTGATGACTAAAAATGGGTATTGGCCCTGAAAAAAAAAGTTTTGCCAACATGGCCTTGCCTCACCTCACAACTACATGAATAAAGACATGTTACTTTTTGACAAAAAAAAAAGAAAAAAGGGTTTTTATTATCTATTATTAAAATTCATGCAGTCAATATCTAATTGTACTATGAAATAAAAGTACAAAACAAGCAAACAAATCAAGTGCAAAGGATGTTTCAACCAGAAACACAAAACACTGATGAAGGCATCACAGCTGAATCGATTTGTGGCATTCTTTCTATAAGGGAAATGAGATCTTTTTCAGAAAAGTGTTCCAAACTTTTTTGCTAAACTTCCAAAAGTGTGTGAACTTGCCTATTTGGAAGTCACAAATGTACATCATACTTTAGTTGTGGGTAAACTTGCCCATTTTTTTAAACCTCTGGCAGATCAATCACTGACCTTAGTTTATACCATTCAAAGTTAATCAGTGGACTGATTTTCAATTTTTTAAAAAGTCAACATTGAAGTGGTTTAAAACTTTTGCCTTGCCTATTTGGAAGTCACGAATGTACATCATATTTTAGTTGTGGGTAACCTTGCCCATTTTTTTTTAAACCTCTGGCAGATCAATCACTGACCTTAGTTTATACCATTCAAAGTTAATCAGTGGACTGATTTTCAATTTTTTAAAAAGTCAACATTGAAGTGGTTTAAAACTTTTGATAACTTTTTTTTTGTCGTAAGCAAAAGTGGACAAAGCGAACGATTACAAATCAGAAATTGGATATGAGTGGGGAAAAAATAATATTGAAGATCCAGTAAACATGTTAAGAGGCCATTTTTGCCCAGTCCTAACTGAGAAGTCTTGAAATAACTTTTATTTCCATCAACGCAACAGCGTTGGAAACACGGCACGTTGTTTTCCTAATCAAAACTTTTGAGTCACGTCACGAGTAGGAGAAGCATGAATCACTCACGCACACGCACGATTTCACGATACATGTTGTAATTGCGCTAACTCATGCCCAGCCATGTGAGCAAGCCAGTGTGCGCGCATGCATGAGCCCGCATTCAACTCCAGTGTTGCATTCAAGCTCTTTTGGGAAGAAATAACATTACAGACCACACTTCGGGTCAAACGAGGAGAAGATTTGTCTGGCGCTCGACGGGGCTTCTGCACACCGATTTCACAGTGACTACACACACACATTGTGGTGTAGTCAGTGTTGAACTGAACTGAGCTGAAGCCCAGTTTCTCACTGCTGGCCACAACTTGGCCTGGACTAACCTCACTTGGTGAATGTTCCACAGGCGCCGCCAGTGGGAGTTTGGGGTGGTCTCTAACGCCCTCTGCTGGTTGTCATGATTGGTGAACACACTGTGAAAAGACGACGAACACAAAAAAAAATTTCAGCATCTTGTTCCCGTAATTGAAAATATTTCCCCGACGTGTTCCTATGCAACGTAACAAAACAGGGACCAAGACAGCATGTTATAAACCCTGAAAAAAGCATCCATGAAGACAAGATAAAAAAACCCACTAATGTATATGAACTTGACCAAACATATTGTAAGTTGAGGGGTTCGTAGTTTTGTAGTGGATAGCTCTACTTTAAGAATGGGCAAAAGGAGAGATGGAATCCTTTGAAGGCAGCATTTTTATTTTTCAACGTCTGCACCTAAACGAACGAGAACACACCTCTTTCCGGAAACACAAACTCTTCCTGGTTTCCTTCAGCCAATCAGACAATATCAACATAAACTTGTTTAAGCAATTATAAAACGAAATATAACCTAGGTAACTGTAACACAAAAGAATATAATGCTCAAATATAAAATGAAAATAATTAATAATTTAACATAAGCTTACAATATCCACTTGGCAAGGCCAATGTCGGCGGGGGAGTACGTTTGAAAACCATCGACAAGAGCCTGGAGAACTCTGCCCATAATAACACTGCGGGGTTCACAGTCCACAAGTCGGCACATCACGTATTCCCTTTCATCTGTGCAGCGCCTCTGAGGCCGAGGGAGGGTGAGAGAGTTCCAGTAAGGATCAGGAGAGGATTCGCTCTGTTTTTTTTTGCCTCAGGGGTGACTGCTTCTCTTTGTCTGACGACTTATTAGCAGACAGGCAAGGAGGGAAACAGAAAAACAGCGAGACAGAGAAAGAGAGAAAATTGTGTGCGTTGACAATAGCTGCCATTGTCTCCTCCAGCTCCACAGCATTTCACCGTGTCTATGTGTGAAGTGGTGCGGAACACCACAAAAACAAAACGACCAACTGAACATAAGAGCATCATGTTAACATGCACTCAACGGTGTGCAAGACCAACCAGACAGACGAGATATGTTCATGGGTACAAACATGAATTATTGCAGAAAAAAAATGGATTATCACTCTAGCGTCATTGTGGTGGTTTTCTCTTGTTTGTACTGCCTCCACGTGGCCAAAACTATAAATGCACCTTTAAAGGCCAACTGTGAAGTCATTTCAGAAAATCCCAAATGAACTATTTTTAACGTCATTAGTAAAGTAATGAGATAAAATACATTAAATGAATCATAAAAAAAATCTGACTCTTTTGTAAATTTAACCAAGACGTTTGGAAGTGTGACGTCAATTCAAGAAAAACAAATGGCACAGGCCAATATCGAAAGTGTACAAAGATCATCAGAAATTGATTCAGAAAGCAATTTCTCAAACTTCTCTCATGGGCGAACCAGACGCTCAGGATTTGGAGTGGAGATGCGACCAGTTGCGTTTGGAAGAATGTTAAGGTATACACGCTGCGGTTATTAGCCTAGCGCAGGGGTCGGCAACCCAAAATGTCGAAAGAGCCAAATAGGACAAAAAAAAAACAAATATGTCTGGAGCCGCATGCTGCTCTGGAGCCGCGAGTTGCCGACCCCCGGCCTAGCGCTATTGTTTGCAATTCGATGCTGTGTCTTGCTGGAAATTACGCATGATGGGATTACATACTTGGTCCATGTATTCCCGCTAGCACTCAGAGCACATGTCATAGAATGTTGGTCTCCTACGGTAGTTCTGTTGCGCTGTCGGCCATTCCGCACATGAAATCTGCAGCATTGTTAGTTGCAAACAAACAACGATGATTCTATCCAGGCACTCAAATAGTTCGAAATATTTTTGTCCAGGAATACATCCATGTACATGTATAATAATTTGAATCAAATGTTTTCATAAACAACAGCCAGAGTTAGTAATTGATTTTCACACCTATCTATTTTTGCAAATCCGGTTGAGAAAAAAAAGAGTTCTTTGTAACAAAGAACGCGATTATCTACAATGATTAAGAAAGATATAAGCATTTGCTGATTGCATGTCCCTGCGTGTTATATACTACATTAAAGTATAATCGATGCTATGCTAAGTTGCCTAGCTGATGCTAATGGTGCATTGTTCTTATTATTAATAGCGCGGGCACTTTTGGGTAAACGTCGATGTGATGATGATGTAATGACGTAGCTCCTGTTTGGCTCTTTGCCGGTGGAAACCCAAACACGTTCTTCATAAGAACTCGTTAAGCACCAACTAAGCACAGCACTAGCGCTATGCTAACCTTTGAAAGAGAGACAAAAGTTACATTGAAGCGCAATCAAAGTTATATGAGCATGCGTACACTGGCAGATGAGATCCAACCCACTGTTAATTTACATGTGTAGACAGGCCCACGGTGTGCCGTTATCTTTTAAACTCAATTCGTCAATATATAACCAAGTGACCGTAAGGAACGATCATACATTCAAGTACAAATGCGCTCTACTTGGTGTTGCTGACGTGCTATTTGCTACTGCAAAAGGTCAACCTAAAGCTTGCAACAAGCAGCAGATTTTTTTTTTCCTACGAAAAAATCGCAAAATTATTATTCTTGCTAGAGATTTTTGATGCCACCGCCAGGACCAAATGATTTAACACAGTAGCGTGCTCGCGCGGACTTTGGTCTCACTTTACAGGTCTTGCAAAGCTGCGGAAGTACTTCGGATCATCTAGGGGAGCAGAGTGACGTTACCGAAGGTAAACATCATTTCATTATTGACCATACAGTCTTAATGACCAAAAAAATGTGAAATCAAGTGTAACTTGTTATGATTTACATGATTAAGTTGCATAACAACTGGCATCGTTCTTCACAAAAGCTCAGTTTAGGGCATAATTCACACATTGTTAGCCTCGTCATTTTTACATGACGGTAACCAAATGAATCAACGCATACAAATTTGGAATTTTCTGTTTTTCCCCCAAAAACATTGGAAAATCATTTAGGCAACTATGCTATTGGGCTAACTATGTATATGAGCAGAGTACGGATACAGATTCGAATAAGGATATGCTACGGATTGTGTCCTTCGGGGTGTGTCGAGTAAAGTAACCATGAGGCTCAATTGACACAGCATTAAAAAAAAAAAAAAAAAAGCCCAAAAAATACCCACTAATGGAATTGAATATATTCAGATCATTAGACTGCTCAAATGTTGATTAAAATATATGGTGTTATCTGCCAATGTAAGTGTTCACGTGATCAAACGTGTGCCCTCTCAATGCCAACTTGACGTCATGGAAATACACCAGTCTCAGCCATGCAGTTTAAGGGCCCGGATAAGGTGTCGAACCTCACAGTTCACAATCGAACCTCACAGTTCAATTCCAATTTTATTAATTAGGTCGTGAGTCGATTCAATATTTATTTATTGATGTCGAAGAAAAACGCACATCGCAGGAGTAGCTGTTGAAAATTTTGAAATCTTCATTTTCATGTCCCTGTGCACAACAATAACTTTTTTTTGCAGATGGAGTACAAAAGTTAATTTTAAAAAAACAAACAAACACACGACCGTTCTAAATAAATACTGGAAAATTAAAGTGCATGTAAACTTCTTATCGCTTGTAGATTTTGACCTCAACCTCAACATTTATTTTAACAACATACCATCTCGACCTTCATTTCTGGCTCCTGTCAAGCGTTCACATCGATTTTTTGCGCCCTCCTGTGGTCAGATGGTGAATCGAGTCAGATGGCTCCTTAAATCATGATTGAATTTGAGGAACTAATATTGCAACCTATCGATTAATCGATAGGTATGCTTAGCACAAAGACGTACACACAAGAGGCCTTGACTAGGAATAGTCGATTTTATGACTCAGAAATTGACGTTTAACGGTTGCAGTCAACTAATCTTTGATCAACTGTTTTTGGCATGCTGTCCAGCCAACAGAGCAGCATAGTCTTCACTCGTCTACGCAAGGTGACAGTACAAATCTACAAATCAGAGCGGTCAGCCTTACAAACTTCGATTATTCAGGTCACCGCTACTCTGAAAATCTTTGAACTTGCAGCAGCGGGACCACCAGACTGGCGGCCAGGAACGTGGGCATCAGCCGAAGGTGACACACAATCTTTGTCGCCAAAATGTCTGATTAATGAACGAGAACTTGATTCCTCACAGAAGTTGTCCGATACCACATGCACCAATTTGGCGATACTCCCGACGTGCCCTGAATGTAAATCTGCGGTAACCATCTAAAAACGTGAGTTGCGAGCATATGAAAAAGCAGCCGTAAGTCGGCTGGAATGTACAGGGTCGATATCACATTTGGACACTCAATATCACATTCGATATCATATCGATATCACATTTACTCACTGTAGACTAAATGCAGCCTGATATCTGATAATCTACTGATAGCCAATAAAAACGGCTCCTTGGCAGTCAAGATGTTCTCCAACTGTTTATCGTATCTACTGATAGCCAATAAAAACGTCTCCTTGGCAGTCAAGATGTTCTCCAACTGTTTATCCATTAGAACAGCAGACACACCGGACAAACAGCCCAATATTATAAAAGGCTTGATCGACAATGGAGTGGAAGAACACGCTGACTCGTAGTCAGTCCCTACGTAGCGTCCGCTCATCATATGACAAGCCAACCTCGAGGGATACCGGGATTCTTACTCGGACGGTGTCCGTGTCCAAGTTGGTCGAAAGGTGGAAGAAACACTGTCCTGATTTATGGATTAAGACAAATCTCGGCTCCATTTTCAATGCATCATCATGACCTAAACAGATATCAAGCTACAACTGAAGGAACTGGTATCGATTCTAGAGAGAATGGCGGCACAAAAGGAAAGTCATCAGGTCGAGAGGTAAGCTTTCATTTTGCAACATGTTTCCATACTTGGGGCGTGGAATAAGGGGAATTTTTTTCATGATGGAAGAATACAGTTCCAACTCCGTCTGTGAATGGCCCACGGGAAAGGAAAACATCTCAGTTGGAGCCTCCAAAGACCGGCGAAGACAAATGGGAGCGCTCTTTGCCCGAAACCAGTTTGAGCCGGAGCAAGTCGACAGGGAGCCTTCAAAACAATGCCAACGTGTCCATCGAGGCCTTGAAGGCACGTTTTGAGATGAGAAATAACCAGGCAAGCACTTTCAGGGTGGCGGATGAGGCAAAGCCTTCCAAAGATGTCAAGCCGGTGATGAATGGAGAGTCAGCAAAGGGGCAGAAGGCTCCCGACGCTCCGGTGCGTCCCGGCAACAGTGATGCAAAGAAAAGGAATCCTCCACATACGGTAAAGAAACATACTGAACATGATCCAAAGAGTCGAGGTTTAAAAAAAATAAACAAATTTACAAAAAAAAAAAAAAAAGGGGGGGAGGAACCATTTTTAACTTGCTGGGCAACTTCATAAATACGCACACAGGTTTTGCCTGAAGAGTGGAAGCCATTATACACTATCTGAAAAGTGACCAATCAATTCCATACTTTCTTTTCAACTTTTTGGGCAAGTGTGCCTTTTTTTTTATTTTTTTTAATATGTCCATTCAAGGCGGTGACACAAACCTGGACAGAGAAACGACAAACGATTGGCGGTACCAACGTCGAAAGAACTGTGGCTGCCCAAGCCGGTGAGTAAAAGACACTTCATATGAAATGACAGTAAAATATTCCATAATATTAAACAGAGTCCCAAATTGGAAATCACAGCACAGAACGAAGCAAATGGGATTTGGATGCATTGAACGCAAAGGCCTATCCCATTTATTTTTGTATTGGAGAATGATCAAACTATCAACCATTTTCTCCCAGACTTTGGCCTCAATTCAACTTTGCTCACCAAATAAAATGTCCAGGGACGGCTCGGTGGGCGAGTGGTTAGCGCATCGACCTCACAGTGGAGAGGCACCGGGTTCGATTCTAGCTCCGACCTTCCTGTGGGGAGTTTTGTTCTCCCCGTGCCTGCGTGGTGTTTTCTACGGATACTCCGGTTTCCTCCCACATTCCAAAAACATGCATGGCAGGTTAACAGAACACTGTAAATCAGGGGTGTCAAACTCATTTCACATTGTGGGCCGCATAAAGCCTCAGTAGATGTCAAGTGGGCCGGACCATTAAAATTATACCATACTCTGCTATAAATAACCAAAATATCATGTCTTTCCTTTGTTTCGGTATAGTACAGCACAAGAACATTAGGAAAATGTTGAAATTTAATGAACATATCTTTTACAAAACATTTCATGAAACACCTTAGACAAATGTGCAATTTACTTTGATCATTCAGATACATGCATTGCAACTGATCCCACTGATTGTACAAACAAATTGGTATTGAAAAATATAGTAATGCATTTTAAGATTAAACGAGATTTTTAAAGAAAGGAATTTTTAAACCATTTACACGTGCATATAAAATCTAAATTTAATCCCTGGCTGCACTTTACAAACTAAGGAGAAAACAGTGTGCCCCCTAGCGTATAATTCATGAATTGCATTTTATTGAAAATATCCATTCCGTTTCTGTTCTGCATTTTTTCACTTAAATTATCCTGCGGGCCTGATTGAACCTCTTCGGGGGCCGGTTCTGCCCCGCGGGCCGTATGTTTGACACCCCTGCTCTAAATTGTCCCTTAGTGTGAATGTGAGCGTGGATTGGTTGTTCGTCTAAGTGTGCCCTGCGATTGGCTGGCAACCGGTTCAGGGCGCATGCGACTCAGCTGTCACTAGGGCAGGAGCACCAGATAGCTCGGGACCACAGCACAGACACCAACCGGAAATTATTTGAGGAAATACGCACTGATTTTTAAGTTGAAGCTAGTTGGTGGTGAGTACCAATACTGATTTGTGTTTCGTTTCTCTCGAGACCACAGTCAGCGACTGGACCTTGCAAGCATGTCGAACAGCTTTTGTTTTTTTAAATTAAAAACTCAAGATGTTTGAAATCCAATCGTGGGCAGCTACCAATTGGTCTCGATACCCAATTTTTTGGGGTCTTACTAATCATGAGATGTTTTATAAAACTGTTTTCACCATACTTAGTCGGTATTCGCAGTATTGTCAAACACACAAAATATGACATTTCTTTGAAAAAAAATGTCCTTTAATGAAAAGGGGAACTAAAGTCGTCTGGACGACCTCTGATTACAGGGGGACTTAGATTTGCGACTGTCCCGACCCAAAACATGAACTGAATTCAGTTACTGTTTGTTTTTTCATTTCATTGAGTTCAATGATTTGCATGCAAGAGAATTTTCACATCTTCAAATCCTGTCATTCTGAACGGTGGTGTCATTGCGTTAGCGTCGAGAAGTGATGGACAAGGGCATGTTGTGACTTGCCTTCCATGCAGGTTACAACGTTGCGGTAGGAATAGAACTGTGCCTTAGACGTAGACCGTAATCGAGCAAGACATCAGTCCCAACTCCTGGTGACACGGACACAGTTCGTGTATAGTTTACGGCTCGCAGACTTCAGAGAAAATTCCTTTGTTCCAGAGAGGGAGATACCGTGTGTCTCTGTCAAAGCTTTGTCTGCACTCTATCTGTCGAAGGTGGCGACTCAGGAAGCAAAGCAGAGTGACTTCAAACCGGTAACTTCATACTTTTCTCTATCCGACTACCCAGAGAATGTAGACTCCTATCTGTAGCCAGCTAGATAAACAGTAGCGACATCTATCAATGTGCCCAACTGACAACGGTCCAATGAAGGTGATGTGTCACTGTCTGAAACTAAATCAAGGCCTGCCTGGATGGAGCAAAATTTCCTTCAATTAAACCAAAACAGAAGTGAGGTAAAAAGAGGGATTTCTGTTAGCTAACACTTGGAGTCAGTGTCCTCAAAGACAAACAAGCCCGAAACCCTGGTGTGCTTTACCATATTAAAAAAAATACTAATAATCCTAATCCAGATTGAAAGCATGCTCCAGGGAGACCAGGAAAATCTCATCCATGTTTGTATCTCCAGTAGACCTCATTATCGAAATGGTCTTCTGACTGGACTACCTCAAAAGAGCATCAAACAGCTGCACCTCATTCAGAACGCTGCATCTTGGGTTCTAACCAGAACAAAGAACTCAAAGCATTTTACTCCAGTCAGATGGAAAATCGATTCTGTAGAGCACTTTGTTATAGCTGCAGCTGTTGTGAAAGCGCGATAGAAAATCAAAAGGTATTGTATTTTAAAATCAGACAACTGGTTTATAAAAAAAAAAAAAAAAGAAAAATCATTGTACGGTTGAGATCCTGAACACACCAAAGAAATGCTAAGAGAAAATAAACCCAGTAAGGCGGTGAGGTCTGCAGACTGGGGTCAATCAGTAGAGCCAGGGGTTCAAAGCAAACATGGTGCATCAGCATTTAGCAGTTACGCTGCACACAAATAGAGAAAACTGACAAAAAAAAAGGTGAAGGTTAAAATCATAGCTTTTTTTCCCACCATACATATGATCAAGGTCTTTAAATGCAATTTTTAAATAAATGTTTCCAACATCTTGTTCTTGCGCTGTATCTTTGCTCGATCTAAAAATATAAATTGCCTATCACCACCACCCTGAAACAAAGATTTACGTTTTGTACTTGCGCTCTCATTCTATGCTGATTTTGGTCGGTCAACTAGTTCAGGATTAAAACCAAAAAATTGTTTTGTCGGGCTGTGGATAACAATTATTTTCATTCTCGATGAAGCTGTTGATTATATCATAAATTCATCGACATATCTTGTTTTTAAAATCATGTTTTAAGTTCCATCACTTTACTCAAAAACAGGATATATAATTAACAGTGCAGAAAATGCACAAACATTAATTAATTGTGATTCAGTGACTGGTTTGGTCTGTAACTTGTCAGAAAAATGTTCAATTGGATTCAGCACAAAAATAATCAGTCTGCTTTCATGGCAGACTCCAGAAGTGAGATAATATTTACTGTTGAGAAGCTGAAATTCTGAGCATTTGGACTATGTTAAGTTTAAAAAACAAACAAACAAACAAACAAACAAAAAAAAAAAAGGATCTAAATGAGAAATCAATTGTCAAAAAAAAGGATTCATTTGATCGTCGATTAGTTCTCGATTAATCAGTTAATCACTGATTTAGTTTTGTTTTATTCTTGTAAAATTCCAAAGCTGGGCACTTGAATTATATTCTGTATTCTACTAGGCACAAGATCAGTCATCTGAACTTGGGAGACGAATAAAACAAATGAAGGTAAGTATCTGTGACACATCATTTTGCCAAAACAGGTAGTGCATTACATTTCGCGCTGTACTGACAAAACAGCTGCATGTTGTTTGTAGAGTAAACACTTGCTTCATCCATTTGGTTCACATTTGGCCTGTATACAGTTGTTGAAAGCTTTGGAGTTCAGCTAATTCACTGACGACTTGCATCAGTCAGGTGGTACTCGGAAGGTAATACAAACGTCTCATTAACGGAAGCATGTTTGCGCACGCTGAAGCATGGACCCCGTAAGAACCAACTTAGTGCCAAATGATGATTGCATCACTTTGTTCTTATAAGATGGCGGAAGACACCCAGCTCATGAGAGAAGAGCGCCTTCGGCAAGGAGCGGATAACCTCGAGTCACAGTCGCAACAATCATTGCAATCCCAAATGTCCAAAGAAAGGCTGTACCAACAGCGGCAGAAATGTGAGCTAAGAAGACTCCTGAAGCACACACATCCCGAGCTGAAGATACTGGATGAGGTCGTAGATGAGGAGCTCGCTGAGGTGTTGAGCTCAGACACCGAGGTGACGGCCGATGAAACCGGATATGAGGGAGAGGTCCGCTCCAGATGCTTGATATTTGAGAATTGTTCCCAAAGTGCTAAAGTGTCAGTTCACAGCCCAAAAATGCACACAGCTGTCCAACAAGGCAACGTCAGTAAAATATCAGCTGTTTCTGAGCATCCCGACAAGATGTCTTTTCAGGACCAAACGGTGCCTTCAAAGACCGATCCCGGTATCGAACGTGAGGAGGGTGTCAAGAGAATAGATGTCCAGGCAACCAGAAGGATATTTGAGAGTCAGTTGGTGGATACACCTGAGTTAAGTCCAGAAAAGGTTGAAGGTAAAGTTTCTACTCCAGGTGTTTTGACTGACTTAGCCAATGCCTGGTGGAGGGAGAAATGTGATGGGCAGAATGTACAGTGCCAGGAGAAACCCAGCCAGATGAATCGGATAGAACAACAGAAACAAGGGCCAGATGATGCTGGCTATAGCACATGGAAGGAAGAGGATGCCTTATCCTCTTCTGAAGATAAACAACACCAGGACAGGATAAAATCTAGGACATGTCTTCTGCAAAACAACCCGTTCATATCAAAAAACATTGAAGATTCCACTGCTCATATGACAAAAGCCAAAATAACAGCAGAAGACGACTATGCCGCCGCCAAGGTTAAGGACAGAGCGCATTTGTTCGACTCGATCCCGTTTGACCAAATCAGACATCAGAACAAGGACGAAGTGGAGACAATCGCGGAGACGCTCGAGGAATCACTGAACACTCTTCATCGCTTAAATGCCATTCATGCAGAAGTTCGTGTATAGTTTACGGCAACTTCTTTTACGCATGTATTGAATGATTCGTTGCTGCAAAACATGACAGCCGGCATGTTTGGTTTTATGCAACACATATTTCTGATCTTCTGTGCCGAGTCAACAGTGGTATGCCTTTCACTTCATGGTCAGTATGTGTGTCAGTTGGGTCAGGTATCTCCCTCTTACCGTCATAGGCGGGATATTTTTAACTGTGACGTACGGCAGTTGCGACGGAAAAGCTTCCCAAGCGCAGTAGCAAATACAAATCGTGACAGCAATGAAAGTGATTTACAGTTTTGTCTATTGCACCTCCGGATGAGGTCTCACTGCATCTTGCTTTCGTGTCAACTTGTGTTTTGTTTGCAGATGACAAACGGAGGTCAATCGCAGACTTCAGAGAAAATTCCTTTGTTCCAGAGAGGGAGATACCGTGTGTCTCTGTCAAAGCTTTGTCTGCACTCTATCTGTCGAAGGTGGCGACTCAGGAAGCAAAGCAGAGTGACTTCAAACCGGTAACTTCATACTTTTCTCTATCCGACTACCCAGAGAATGTAGACTCCTATCTGTAGCCAGCTAGATAAACAGTAGCGACATCTATCAATGTGCCCAACTGACAACGGTCCAATGAAGGTGATGTGTCACTGTCTGAAACTAAATCAAGGCCTGCCTGGATGGAGCAAAATTTCCTTCAATTAAACCAAAACAGAAGTGAGGTAAAAAGAGGGATTTCTGTTAGCTAACACTTGGAGTCAGTGTCCTCAAAGACAAACAAGCCCGAAACCCTGGTGTGCTTTACCATATTAAAAAAAATACTAATAATCCTAATCCAGATTGAAAGCATGCTCCAGGGAGACCAGGAAAATCTCATCCATGTTTGTATCTCCAGTAGACCTCATTATCGAAATGGTCTTCTGACTGGACTACCTCAAAAGAGCATCAAACAGCTGCACCTCATTCAGAACGCTGCATCTTGGGTTCTAACCAGAACAAAGAACTCAAAGCATTTTACTCCAGTCAGATGGAAAATCGATTCTGTAGAGCACTTTGTTATAGCTGCAGTTGTTGTGAAAGCGCGATAGAAAATCAAGAGGTATTGTATTTTAAAATCAGACAACTGGTTTATAAAAAAAAAAAAAAAAAAAAAAAATCATT